TGTTCTGAAAATGCTCTTAAAAAGTCAATCACTATATCTTTATTTTAAAAAGTTACTTAAAGTATCAATAATTTTAAAAAATAAAAACAAAAATATCAATAATTTGATTTTTTAAAATTGGAAACTGTTCCTATCGAATTGAAGTATGTACTTCAACTAAATAAGTGCATATGAGTTGCTATAAAGCTAGAGAGATAGATCTCAGAATCATCTGTATAGAGATTTTATATACACACATATGTGCATTACTTTGGGGCAACAAGCAATTTGTGTCGGATAAACATGACAGATTATTATGATGCCAGCATTATTAATATTTTTATCCTCTGAAATATGTAAATAAAATAGCTATTTAACTCTTGTTTGAGAATTTTTCAGTTTAACTCTTTGATTTAAGAGTACTTCCTCTTAGCAAAATAATGTAGAAATATCATCAGACTGCCTTCCTTCTGTAAGTGTTTACATTAGGCTTGAGGAAAAAAACTAGCTTTCTAACACTTCTCACTTTGGAGCTAACCAAAGTGAAGGGGCAGCCTTAGGAAGTGTAGTGGGTGCCCCGTCATCTGAGGTCTTCAAGTCCAGGAGGACTGAGCACTCATCAGGTACATTTTAGAGAGGATCGTTGCTCAGATCCATGTTAGTCTAGATAGCTTCTGAAGTCCTTTCCAGCTTTGACATTCCATGATTCTGATCTGTTTGCTCCGTTATTGTACCATGGACTCAGGGCAGCATTCACTGTTACTCTGCCAACAAGCAGAGTTGGGCAACAGCGTGGGGTAGGGGAGGAGGGAAAGTGAAGCCTGAGAATGGTTCTCCCCTTCAAGTTAGTGAATAATTATTGCCAAAGACTTGGCACACTACTCTGAGAAGCTGTTGACCCCTACTGTAGAAAAAACACTAAGCACTGTAAATTACTTTTGAGGTATCCTATCACCTATTTCATTTAGATACGGAAATTTATGAAGCGTTTAGAATCATAGAATGTTAGCACTGGAAGAGAATTAGAGAGCATCTGAGTCCAACACGTTTGAAAGAACTTCATACATTCTCTATAGTTACATGCAGGCATCTATAGTTACATCTGTACCTGTCCAAAGATATAGGTCATCAAAAATTGGAACTATTCCCAACCAAACTGATTTCTTCACTTTTTTTTAGCAGAAAGGGGAAAAGCATCTAAAATCTTTAATAAAGACAAATATAGAATTTTCTTTTGAAATACTTTTCATCTGTCTTTTCGACAGGAGGAGTCTTTGGAAAATGACCAAATTACTGAGGAAAAAAGGTGGAATCAAAGAACACTTCAGATGTTAGACTATTTACGGGTAAGAAAAGAAATACTGACTTGCTGAAAACTACCAGACATTGATAAAATGACAAGGAGTAAGTTATTCTAGAGATTGGCGACCTGTGGCATGTGAGATCCATAAATTCAGGAAAATACTTGTGCTAAAAAGGCCTTAGATATCATCTGATCCAACTCACTTATTTTGAAGATAAGGAATTTAAGCCTCAAAATGGCGAGGGGAGTTTCAGATATCCCCAAATGTTAGTGCTCTCCTTCCCAAACTACATTATTCTCTTTATATTTATTCTTTATACACTTACATAGGTGTCTCCCATTAGAATGTAACCTCTTTAAGGATATTTGTATCCCTAGTGCCTAGCTCAGTGCCTGGCATAATAGGTGATTATTGCTTTTTTGATTAATGGATTGAAGTCTTTGGCCCAAGGTCATGCACAGTTAGTTGCATTCCTCGGTTCTCTTTAAACCTACTCTATGATTCTTTCCACTTATTCTGTTGTTATAACCAGGCAAAATTAAAGGTATAGTTGTAGGCAAAAATGTGAAGTTTGGCTCCCTATCAGTTTACCCCTTCCTCCTCCAAGTACATATCTTGTATTCTGCTGCTCTCATCTGTCTGACAATCACTGCTATGGTATAGTTCACTGACAGTTGACAACAGGTTAAAATATGACTCCTTTCCAGGGATAGTATATAAACAGAAAAGTTATCCTTATGACTTGTGAACCTCACCCCCACCCTTTCAAGGAAGTAAATAATGAGGAATTGGTATAGCCCTTTGAGGTCATTATAGCACCTGAGCTAAGTCCTATAATATCAGATAGAATAATGATTTGGATATACCTGGAGTCAAAAGGCCTGATTAAAGCCCTTGTTATTTAGTTGTTTTCAACTGTGTCTGACTCTGGGTTTTCTTGGCAAAGATACTAGAATGCTTTGCCATTTCCTTCTGCAGCTCATTTTACAGATGAGGAAACTGAGGCAAACAGGGTTAAGTGACTTATCCAGAGTCACCCAGCTAGTAAGTGTCTGAGGCTAGATTTGAATTCAGGAAGAGTCTTCCTGATTCTGGGCTTAAAAAATCTAGCTGCCCCATTTAAAGTCAAGTCCTAGCTTTCAAATAGATGTATGATCTTAGACAAGGTATTTCATGTCCTTAAACCTCAGTTTCTTCATCTATAAGATGGAGATAATAATACTTATGACTAGCTTTCCATAAATGGTAAAGTGATAGACATGAACTATTATTAGAAACCACATGCTGAAATATGGGATTTGAAGTTAAAGGATTTTGATTTGAATACTGGCTCAGCTACCTATTGTTGACATTGAGCAAGTCATTTAATGTCTCTGAAATTCAATTTTCTCTTCTGTAAAATGAGGGGTTTTGACTCAGTGAATTTGAAGTTCCTTTCTGGCTCTAAATTTTGTGATTCTATTTATGTCAAATTTAGGCTTTTTATCATTAAGTGATATTTTGATAAAATTTAGCCACAATATATTATCATTTCTACATCCAGAGATATAATGTCTTCTCTCAAAATGATCTTGATGATGTTCATTACATACCCTGAAGTCTACTTTTGACTCTCTTTTTTTTTTTCCTTTTCTCCTTTCTTCCCTTTCTCAGCATTGCAACAAGATGGGAATTAAGTCTTTTAGCCTGATGAAACTCTGCAGAAACAGCGACCAAAAGCAAGCCGCTGCCAAGTTTTATAGCTTCCTTGTCCTGAAGAAGCAGCACGCCATTGAGCTTAGTCAGAGTGCCCCCTATGCAGACGTTATAGCAACAGTGGGACCAATGTTCCATCAAATGTGAGCACCAGTGAGAAATCCCAAAGCCTGTGGGGCTGTGTCTGCCAAAGAATTTCTATCTAGATCTTTCAATTCTTTGTAGAGTAACTGTAGAACCAGCTAAAAGTCTGGCCCATAGTTGATAGGAAGTCTTACCACTTTCTGTCTCTTAGACCAGAATGAGAGATGAACACTAGAGTGTACATGTGTTCATGAATGATTAATTATAATAATACAGTTTTTTTAATAATCTAGTTTAAAATATTTTATCTAAGCGTATTCATCTAGCTGAACATTACATTGAATTTTAAATAGATTTACAATGGACAATCAATTTTGTTTTTATCTTTTAGAAGTGTGTCAGTGTGTTTAGAAATTATTTCAGAATGAAAGAGAAATGCTTCTCTTATAACTGGAATATTTTGCATTGAATTATTCAAACTTTATTGAGTTAATTAGCACTTAACTATTTCCTATTATTGTCCAATGGATAATATAATTTATATTCTACTTGGTATAATACATGTGTTTTATTTAGCCTAAGTGCCTTATTTTATAGTCCTTGACATTCATCCTCAATGAATCAAATCACTTGTGTCCTACAAGTCATTAATGTTCCCTGTTTGTTATTTGACACTCATTTATATTTTTATAAACATGTTAACTTGAAAATGTTACTATCCATACTTGCAGAAATGATACAGATCACTGAAATAAACATTCTTCTCTTGCTAAGCGTTCACAAATTAGCATGTGTTAAGTGCCAGAAAGAATATCTAAAGTTAATAGCCAACGTTATTCTTATTTCAAAATGAGATTTAGAAATATCTCCCATTATGCTTTTAGAACTCCCTAGGACCTTTATTCCATGCTCATAGCACTTATTAAAATACCAGTAAAAACACCCCGAATCATGCTAAAAATCTAAAATGACATTCAAATGTACTTCTCCTTAAGAGATGGATGGTTTAAGAATCATGTTAGCACTGGCAGGGCCTCTAGAACATAAAATGCCCAAGCTAGAAGATATGTTAGGGATTATTTACGTAGCTCTGGCTTGACCATACTCCCAGCTCCCTGCCCAAAGATCAGGGTTAAAGGCAGATCTCAGGAATTTAGGTAAATACTCCTCCCATTTTTAGTTCAATCCCTCTTCTTTAAAAAGACACAAACTGAAAGTCCTAGAGAGTTAACCCTTTTCTTTCTCCCTATCAGACTTTGAACTAGGGAAGAAGCAAGCAGAAAAGGTAAAAAGTGAAGCCCTCTCTGACAGAGATCCATTTAATTCATAGTTAACAAAGGGTAATGGGCCCTTTCATGAAATTTTGCTTGTGTGCCCGAAATAATAAATATATCACCTCATGAGTATATTTTGATTCCAGTATTATAACATCATAAATTGATGCTGTCTCTATTAAGAAATTATTTAACACTGAAATATGAAGTTACATTAAACAAATTGCATTTTAATTCAGAACTAGAGTCAGAGAATATTAGAGCTAGAAGAGACTTCAGAGACCCTCTTGTCCAACCCCCTCGTTTTTTGAATAAGGAAACTGAGAGAAGTAGCATACACTCATTCCCACAGCTACTTTGAAGCAGGGTTCCAACTAGCATACAAATCCGCAGTCATTGTTCTTTCTCTTGATACACAGGTTATCTTTTCATTAAGGAAAGTAATATACAGGTAAACTTTCCAAATCCAATTGAAATATAATTAATTTCAGTTCTCACTAGCCTCTATGTTATGAGTATTAATGCACAATAAGGATAAGGAATTATTTTTTAGATTAAAACCTTTTATTTTATACTTCCAATCTCCTACTAGTGTGATTTTCCTCACCATTCAATTAGGATTCTGGTTAATATTTATTATTCTAGTATATTGCAACAAAGTCACCTGGTCTGTGATGCATCCATGATAATAATCCTTCATCAGCTGCTTCTTCTCTGTCTAGAATGGTGGTTGAGAATGCTTATTCCCACCTTACTGGGAAAGCTGCCAGCAGAGACATCTGGGAAGTGTAGTCTTTTAAGTGAAAAAGCAACAACAGTTTAAAAATGGGAGAAGGAAAAGAGCTCAAAACATTCCCTGTCTATAAACAAACAGCAATAAGATGGCTTTCTTTGGCTCAGCTTTGAATGTTAAAGGTATCTCTTTATTTAGAGATCTAAGCGAACCTTAAGGGCAGAATAATACATTTTAAAAAGCACTTTGACAAATATATGTGCAGTAGAGGACATGATCAGGAAAAGCCTAATCAAGTTTAACAAATTCAGAGGCTGAGGTCTTTGTTTTTGACATTGAAAATTTCTTCCTTTAGAATGTATAAATGTCCTCATTGCCACTACATTTGAGACTTTGTCTTGGAATTCATGATGTCACTTTGATGGCATGTGAACTAGTACCCTTGCCTTGGGCTTAAGTCTTGGGACCACAGTGAGGATGACTGATGGAGTCATGACATTTGAAGATCTTTAAGTCACCTTCATATACCTGTTATACACCTGAGCACAACAGTGGATTTGACCTTTAAGAGAGCACAGACATTGCTGAGAGGAGAAAACTAGAGTAGAGGTGTCTGAAGAGCAGGTAGTCAGACACATGCAGGGTCTGATTTTCTGGAGGGAAGATTTGACAACTACATAGCACTGTTGTAGCTGCTCCAAAAACCTACTCTGTGTGCTCCAGGCAGCCATGTAGCCCCAGGAAAAGAGGTGCCACATGTCCTCAGAAGCAGAGGAACCAGATGGTCAGAGTCAGAAGTGACTAGAAGCAATACCTGGATGAGGGGAGGGATTCCAGGACCTAGATTCATGGGGAGGAGTGAAGGACAATGCTGAGTCCTACTACGTCCAAGTAGAAGCTGGAGCTGGAGATAAGGAGCAGCAGGTGACATTCACCAGGCTTCCAGATGACATGAGCAATAAGATGGCAGACTAGACATTTTCTCTGATTCCCCAAAACCTCTCAAACCTTTCCAAAACAGAAATTATGCACCAAAGATAAAGCAACTTCAGCTGTCCCCATGATCTAGGCCACCCAACATCCAAAAGGAGGTTTTTAAAAAATCCCAGGAACTGAAGCTCACCCACCCTGAACTCACTCAGTGAAACTGTACTAGCAGACTCAAGGACTTGACACAAGCTTACATCAAAAGCTACCCCTCCAGGGGCACTGGCCCTGGAGTCAGGAAGACTTGGGTTCAAATCCAGCCTTGGACACTTGATACTTACTAGCTGTGTGACTCTGGGCAAGTCACTTTACCCCATTGTCCAGCAAAAACAAACAAAAAAAAGCTACCCCTCCACCCCCATTTTTCCTTCCTCTTTCCAGTGCTGTGGAAATGCCAGGGCCAGGGTTCAGAAGTTTGCTCAGGCCTAGAGAGCCAATTTGACCACAGTCCTTCAGGAGCAAAAGCCTTCCAGGGGCTGTAACATGGAAGCCCCAACACTGCAAACCTTTGAATTGCTGGTGCTAGGGAAAACAGACTCTGAACTGCTGGTGCCAAACTAGAGAACTGAGGGAGTGGGACAGGTCACCAGGACAGGACACCGTGTATGTAGGAGGCTATTCAGCACTCCACCAAGCCTTAGGGAAAGAGCACTGGACCCAGCTGGGGCCAGGTTTCACCACCCAAGTCACTTGAGGCATAAACCTAAGCAGGCAAATCATGTATTGCCCAGTGTAGGAGAAAGCTGAGACACCTTGAGATGCAACCGCCATGGAAACCACAATAAGAAGAGAGGGAGTCAGGAAGTGAGTGACAAGGAAAATAGAGGGATGGGGGGAAGACTGAAACTACCAAGGATTTTTAAGAAGAAAACTCAAAGACCTTGAACATAAACAGATAAATCGACAGGAAAAACAGTAACAATGGAGGGAAATATGGCCTCCAAATCTAGACATGTATGAATCAATACTGCAAAGTAAAGGGAAATAATCCAGCACTTGAGGAGACAGAAGACCCTGTGGAATTTGAGAACGTGGAACCACACCATGCTGTTCCTGAGTGGTTTAAAAGAGAAAAGAGAATTATGAGAGCAGAATTTATTTCCTCCAGAGTAAAATAATAAATGATAGAAAGCCTTGAATCTGCAATGGCAAGCCTCACCAAAGAAATAAAGGAAAGAGCAATAGATTAGATATACAAATACACAGTAGTAAGGGACAACCTAGTAGAAGAAAAGCAAAAAGCAATAATAACATAAAATATGCTCGCTGTCCAAGCAGAACATACTGAACTCAAAGAAAGGATGCTCAGAGACAACCTAAGGATCATAAGTCTCCCTGGAGAACATGACGGAACAAAACCTTAATAATAATAATAAAGGAAACAATAGGAGAGAACTGCCTAGAACTTTTGAACGTGGAAAGTAAAAGTTCTTTTTTAATATTTTCCCAATTACTCATAAAAACAATAAAATGGAATTTCAATTGAGCAAATTCACAAATCACCTCCAGGAAAAAAAAATTCAAGGCTGCAAACTCCAAGACACATGGTGATAAAATTTAACAATTCAATTAAGAAATAGCAAGTTCTTCAAGCCATCAGGAAAAAGACCTTCAAATACAAAGGAAAGGACATTCGAATAATGCAAGACTATTCTGCACCCACTAGAAAAAGGAGAAGGAAATGGAATAATGTGCTCTGAAGAGCAACAGAGGTCAGGATACATGTAGCCCAGGGTAACCGATCCTGCAAATCTGAGCTTAACCATAAAGGTGGACATTCAATAATAAAGAAGAGTTTAAAATATTTTTAGAAATCTCTCCAGAACTAAAAAGATTGTTTTTCTCTTAAATACCCCCCCAAAAAAGTAGAAGTGCAGGAGTGAACAAATAGAGCAGGTAAGAACCCTAACTGCAGCAGAGTGGCAGCAGAAAGACCGGTAAGAGGACACAAGGAGACCGGAGTGAAGGCGGAAATCTGGTAGAGGTGATAGTGAAGAGGTAGACGGGATATTACAGCTGTGACACCCTGCCTACAGGTAAATCAGTGCTTTTCTTGTAGGACTACATTACAACATGAGAGGGTACATAAAAGGGGAGGGTGGGAGGGAATTGAGGGACAGAGAGGAATGAGTGATGTAGGAGGAGTAAAATCAAGGGCTAGCAATGAGGGGAAGATGACCTTTGTAGTCTCCGAAAGAGAAGAGCCATAGGATAGTGGATGAGGAGGAAGGGGGGGGACTAAAAGAGGGGAGAAAGGAAAGAAGCTTTCCTTTGGAGGTGGGAGGAGGTTCCACTGGCAAATGCTCCAGTAGGTGAAGAAATAAAGAGATGGTCAGTGAAGGGAGATGAGGACCATATACTGGATGAAGCCTGGGGCATTTGTGCTTGAAAAGTCTACCTGCCCTGGGTGGAGGGGAGTTGGAATTCCTGGGGGCAGCTGGCACCTGGAGGAGTGTGGAAGAGCATGGATATGGGGAGATTTCCAGGCAAAAAGAAAAAAGGTCAAGACAGTGTATAGATCAAGGGTGGGCTGTATAATCAGGGACGTGGTGGAGGAGGGTCCCTACCATGAGGCTGCATCTGTCCTCTCTGACACCTGGAAGTGAGGAACCATGGAAAAGGGAAATCCATGAGGCAAGCCCTATAAGGCAGTGGCAGAAAGCCCCTAGAGGGGAGAGCCCAGAATGGATATCTTAAAAGCTTTGATTGGATGAAGAATCTATAGAAAAGAGAGAGACCAGATAGTAAGAAAGGTCATGAATCAGAGAATGAAGGTTTACAGTAGCAGAAAGAGAAGATGGATGATGAAGAGAGTGAGAGATCCTTTTTGGAAAGAGGTGGAAAAAATGATTTTTAAAAACTAATAAACAAGACTGGTGGAAGGGGAGAATAAGAAGGAGGAAAATCAGCCAAAAGGAGGGGATCAGAGGTGAGGGGAAGAGAGCCAGTAGGAATGGAGCCACCTTAAAAAAAGATTAAAGTAAAGGTGACAGACACCATATAAAGGCATAAACCTAATCCTTGATCTCTGTTAGCACACTGCTGTGTGCACTAAATAAATATGGAGGAAGGGAACATTGAATCCAGCAAGTTGAAGTCGCTTTCCCCTTTTAAGAGAGCCTCAGTCACAGAGTAGTACTCTAACTCTGGAGAATGCAGAAGTTGTTTTGACTATGGACTGAGATGAAGACATTTGTCTTTGTTTTCTGTTAGGTAAAATGAAGCCTGTCCTATTTTCAATAAATTGCTAGTTTAAATGCTTGTATGGGAGCATAGAGTATTGTACTTTTTCTCTAGACACCTAGACCCACATTAAATTCTCATGTTCCCAGGGAACACCAGGCCAATGAATGATTTGAGATATGCCCCCAAGATTGAACTTAGTCTGTGTTAACCCAGAGCTGGGGTTCTGGGCCACATTGTATATGGTAGTACCAAATTTTCAAGCTAACAGATTTTATCACTTTTGTTTTCTTATTTATTCCTCAAGTAAATCCTTGCTCCCTATTATAGTTATTATTATGTTTTAATTTAAAGCATACAGATGAGGAGGAATGTTTGATGAGGGAGTGTGGTGGAAAATGATAATCAATGAAAAAAAATTTTCCTGGGTCTGTGTTGAAGGACAATGATAAGCTTGTAGCAAATAATAAACATCAAGCAATGCTAGAACAAATAGTACAAAAGGCTTAACAGCACACAAAAAAAGAATTATTGTGGATTGAAATTTAATTATCTCTTTAGGTTATGAGGCTAGTAGAACTTTTGAGCTGGAAGGGACTTTAGAAGCCATCTACCCCAACACTCTCCTTTTATAGATGTAGAAACTGAGGACTAATGTGAAGGGTTTTATATATATATATATATAACATCATGGATTTAGACCTGGAGGGGACCTTAGAGTCACTTTAGTTCACACACCCTCTTTCATTTTGCAAATGAAGAAACTGAGACCAGACTGCTTAAGTGACACAAGGAAGAATGTTCTAACAATTAGTTGTTGTTGAGT